TTCAGCGTGCTATATCGTCTGGACGAATGGGTAATCCAGGTAAGCCAGGAGTTAAATGGTTCAATAGATTCTTAAAAAACTATAATTTAATTCCTAAATATTTGCGTAGAATGGGGGCCGTTTATGGTGCTGTAGTGCACGAAGCTGAGAATCCAGGACGTATTATGACAATTGCTGGAGAATGTTTACGCCATAATCCTACCAATTTCACTTCTCCAGTACAAAACTACGTCGTGATAAACTACAGGAAGCCGGGACAAAAACCTGAAGAAGCAAGACCATTTCGACTCTATGGTAATGATAACTAATCACGCTTCTTTATTTTCATCACATCCATAATAAAATCTTTATCATCGTTGCTGGAGGTAGTCAGTCACTAGCTCTGCTATAGCAAATTCAATCTGAAAATAATTATAACCACATTATAACTGTGAAATTATTAAAAGACAACCTGGAATCTGAAAAATACGATTCACACGCACCATAGATGTGGTCAAAATCTAGTAAATTATTGGTTATTTTTTCAATCGAATATATAACACAATATAACTTACCATGAAAATAGCCAAAGCTAAATTTAGAGATCAAGAAGTCAACTGCTGTCTCGAACCGGGATTTTTTGGGCCAGCTATGTGTAGCGATAAAGTTCTCAAGCATATTGGTGGGAAAATCACTAGACGAATCAGTTCTGAAGATAAAGATAGTAGATTTTTCAGGGAGATGACTACACATCCGATTGGATGGACCGTGATTCAGCTTACTTTTACTTCAAGTGCAAAATGTAGTCGATTTAGCAAACAAGATATATCTATTACAATTCCAACCCAGGTATTAATCGTAAAACATCATCCCGAATTTCCCAATTATATTATGTTAGGGTTTGATTGGTTCACTGGTCGAAAATATGATGATGATGAACTCCAGACATATAGAGCAGAAATTGTAACTGATGCGGAGGATGGTTGGGTAAGAATAACTCTTCGTATCAAAAATCTCACCAAAAGAAAAGGAAAATCCATAATAGTACCTGTGTATAAATTTGATAGAAGCAAAGCTTCATTGCTACGCAATAATCAATCGGGTTCTTCTGATTCTCGCTTACAGCAAAATAAAAGCAAGAAAAATAAGGTCAAGTATTCCATCATAAAATCGGAATCAGATACTAACTCTGATACTTCTGACTCCAGCACTTCTTCGTTTAGTTTGGGATCAGAAGATACACATATATATAAGAGCGTGTAATGTCGCAAAGTAAAAAAGAAAAATCAATTATAACCACATCGCATCGTAACTGCGAAATCACATCACGTTATAATGGCCCTAGGGAACGATGTCATGTGTTTTATTCCATAAAAAAAAAGTTGCCGAATGGTATACAGATAAGAAAAAATATGTTTCAGAAAAGATGAATCAATTATACGCCTGATCCAACATATCATCCCGTTGATCAGGATTTAACCAATTATCATCATTCTTCTTATCACATTCTAAATTATCTTTTGATATTTTTCCCCAGGTTTGCTTATCTAATTTTTATTAAAAATATAATTTTGTTAGCCACTGTCAATTATCTTTCAATGCAGTGAAAATAAATAGAATGCTTCATAGAGTATTTATAACAAAAAACTTACAAGATAAAGATTGTCTCGGCTTGCTTTGTTGTCTGGTTCTCGGTGCGGAAAACGATAGGTTGCTAGAATAATTGCTCTCAGATGCGTTATTATCATTGGTCTTGGAGGTAGAGGAATCATTGATCTTGATCGCAGTTTTCTTATTACTGCTCATTTTTCGTTCCTAAATACAGAATAGTGGTAATCATAAATGTGTTTTATGATATTAACTAAACAGTAATACATTAAATAGTGGTATATTACTTGGAATTAGTTGTAGAAGACGTTATTGATACCCACCTTACAGGAGAAAAGAACGAAGTATTTTATAGTGTCCCATTCCTTCAGTCTATTCCAAAAACCAAATTCATTTTCATTATTTTTGCGGTTAACCACTTAACATAAGTCAAATTTCCCCTGTATTCGCAACTGGTAAACACTCCTTAAATTCGACGATCTCTCCTGTCTAGTAATGATCTTGACGATCTGGGAAATGCCAAGTCATTGTGTCATATGAACTTTGATAAAGCTACTAATGAGAATTGATAAGGCCATTCCTCTTATGGCCCTTTTAAATACATTTCGTGTTTTTCTTATCAGGAGGACAGAAGGTAAGAAATAAACAGTGTTTGTCTCGGGTAAAAATAAGCGACAAAAAACGTATCACGTGAATTAAATCCGCAAATCAGAGATCGACGTAGAAGTTCGTAGAACATGCGACAATAATTGTTTTTTACGAATGTAACTTACAATAACTAAATTCTTCATCAATACAATTCACATCCTAGCATTTATCAAAATAATCTTTATTTGATTTCTTTATTATTTTTTTATTACATGCAGAGGAACCTTGCTCCTACACGCTTAAATTCGTAGCTATTTATCTAATCTATTTTTTATTTACCCAACTAACTGATTTTTCGTATCTGATTCACGATTGCAATATCATTCGTCGGGTATTGGATCCTCGGCCTTCAATCCACGTCGGGCGCGTCTCAAATCTAAGAATAAAATGTTGATAGTTAATACCTAGAATACACGAAAATAACCCGATCAATTCGGCAACACGATTACTCATTGCAGAGTAATGGCTTAAAGAGCCTACCGATTCTCCCTCGTCTCTTATCACTAGCCTTGTCAGGTATCTCGGTTTGGTTTTTTTTTGGTTTGGTGAGTCGAATCCGGAAGTTCGAATCTTGAGCATTATTAAAGCCTTGATGAGAGATAGTAAGATCACTATGAATGGGAGTTGGATTGCGTTGGTGGTGGAAAAACGTTCCATGAATAAAGTAAACGATGCTATGTCGGATTCCTCGGGTTACTGGAAAATTACCGTGTAACAAAAAGCGTGATGAAAACGCAACGATTTGTCCCGGACGAAGTGGAATGACGATCTGGAGTTGTGGGAAGCACAGCTCACCCCCCTCAAAATCACCTAATGCCACCAAGCAACATAGAGAGTTCGGATCGTCATGCTCGTCCCAGTGGTAGTCGCTTATCGTATTAAAATTGATAGCGATCATAGGGAAGACGCCGAATGATTTAGGAGCGTTGGATCCCCAAGATAAATTTCTTAACTTCGCATACATCTCCGCGTAATTATTTTGAAGGAACTGGTTAACAGTATCTGATAATGGTTTGAGATTTAGAAGTAAATTATTGACACATTCCTGGTGATCGATGTTGTGGGAGCTGGCGGTATTCGAGCTGGTATAGGGAAGGGGGTTATATAGAGTGTACGCGCCAAAGTGCTCAATGAAATTCGACCAAAACTCATCGCTCCTATGCGAAGGATTATTTAAGGTATGATAATAGTATCCGTTAACGGCATTTGTCGCTTTCGCCACAGCGCTTTGATCATTGAGGTTTTCAAGATGGACCAAGGTTCGTCTATCCATATCAGTGATACATTCGGGTTTTGATATATGGTGAATTTTCACTAACCCGTCAAGAGAGCGAAGATTATTACATACGGACATGATCAACCGGGCTTTTTCTTTTCGTGTGTTGCGTGCGACGGCAGTATTAGTGATTGCTTGAAAATCTTTATTATCTCGAATGTTAAGAGAATGTCTGAGCTTACTCCACTTCAACCTAAGGTGGTGCCGAACATATTTTCTTTTTATCGGTCCATCATGACGTTTTAATCCTAACCACCGACCGAAGGCAACCCATAAGCGTTTATTAGAATCCGTAACGGGTGAGTTATCGTTCTTTTCAACTTCATTGATGATATCAGTGTTGACTAGTGAAAAAAAATCTTCAGGGATTTCGATCGATTCGAGAGAACTACTATCGGGGCCAGATTTTGATTCCTCAATTAACGTTTCAATCAATAGGTCTCGTGCTGAGATATTCTGCTGAGTTTTATTTTTTTGGGAGGATATACGGTCAGAGAAGGAGAGAGGAACGCTTATCCATTCCTTATTTAAATAATAAGCTTTATCATGGCGAGACAGATTACGGGTTGCGTGTTGAGTTCGGTGCTGGTAATGAAGTAAAACATTTGAGATAATAATAATATTAGTTCGATCAAATTTGTTTAAGCTTAGCAAATGAATATGTGAAAATAATTATTGACTTCGTATCAAAAAAAAATATAAGATTGCATGGGAGGAATTATTGACCCCAAAGCCCTTTGCAAAGCAAAGATAATAAATCCTAATCTTTCATCTTATAATTTTTATGAAGAGTTACATTTTGTAGAACGGACTAATCACCATTGCCAAAGTGCTGAGCGACCCACTCGAATGGAGCAAGGAGATTATGCGCATGTTCGATCAGATAACTCGCAAAAGCGAACTCGCGACAAATAGCTCAAGTAAATGTCCTATCATCGCAAAAGCAACTCAACAAGAAAGAAATTTCGCTATACAAGTTCAAGTGTCGTATTTATGTGTCATTCTACCCATACCTTTAATGGATCAAAAACAATATTGATCTCGGTGGAAGGGTTCGTAATAGGAAGTACGTTATTATCTTCTGATTCCGGATCGTTTTGTTTGCGTTCCAACTTAAGTCTTTTGTTCCAACGTTTACGGGACCCTCGTGAGAACTTTTTCTTCGTAACTGGCTTCTCCTCCGACGTGACGGCTTCTTTTCGTTTTTTGGTCGAGTTCATAGTTACGATAAAGCGATGAAGAGAAAAAATGGTCTTGGTGTATTATTATTAATAGACGAAAGCACAGCTATTCGACGAGCCGTTAAGGTAAAAACCTCAGAGCCGATGTCCTACTCAGAAGAATAGCGTTACTTTCGCAGAAAAAAAAAAGAAGCACGGGTAGTGGTGGTAATCAATCGGATTGGTAAGGGCATATATATACGACGATCAACCAATCAAGATGAGGCAACTGAAAATGCGTCGTTCTATATCTGGGATAATCATATTTCGGACATGTGGATCTATTTCAGGTGACTGCAGACAACGTGTAAGCATATTATTTAATCACATATATCGCACAAAGTATATAATAATCCAGCCACCAGGGCTATCTTTATTGGGATAAATACAAGATATAAAAAGTACATATAACAAAGTCTAGTTATCGTCTCGTGGAGTGGAAACTGTAGTACTATCTTCCATTTGCCTTTGCGATGTGGCAGTAGGTGCGTGATATAGTAAAGATAAATTAGTAATTATTATATTACGTAAAAGTAACAAAGTTTCTATAAATTTAGTTACAACGGCTTCATCCGAAAATTGTATAGGAATCTCAGCAGATTGTAAATGGTAATATCGGTGAACATTAACCATATCTCGTACTAGAAGATTCAAGTGCAATACATTACCTGCTACTTGCATACCTACAATGCCAAACTGGTCCTTATCCGGTTTAAGACTTTGGCGTATCCAATATAGTCCGTCATTAGTTTCTCGCCATAACTTAATCTCATCGTCGGTCTTTTTTTGTGGACTAGAAATTAAACGAGAGCATTCTACGTACATGAGTTCAAAAACCGTCTCCAGGTATTTCACTACAAGCATAATATCTGGACGTCTTCCCATGTAACCTTCTCCCTTTCTGTTAGCACTTGCAATACTTTGCTTTTCCGACGTACTAATAAAAAAAGTGTCTCCGACAGGGAGATTTTTCAATGAAGCTCGAATAACAGGTACAATGACAGTTGATTGGTATGTCCCCTCATTTAATGTCTTTGCGAGTTCGGGATCGAATGCTGAGTTATTCCAAATATCTTTCAAAACATTAAGAATTTCTTTGACCACGCATTTGATATCTTCTTTCGATTCTTTCCAAGCCCCATCGTGTATTAATTTGGCTGATTTTGTTTCGATTTCACGCCTCTTAAAATCTAGTACAAATTCTCTACATATTTCTTGAACCATTGGCATGGGTGTGGGCGTCATTTTACGAACAAGTTTCTAATGTAAAAAATAAACGTTATTAATAGTGTTAACAAAGGCAACGTGACCAAATATATATAATTCTTTACCATAAACCCTTTTCTTAAATTTCCCGGTAATTCCTTTACGGGCTTCGATTCGTCGCTGATGACTTGACTGGCCGTAGGATCTTTCCAAGACAACGCCTCAATTGACATTGCTCTTACACCAGAATATAAATGTTGATATAGGGGGGTCGTATCTCTTTTGAGTTTTCTTTGAAGCTCAATCATATTGTTTCCGATTTGGTCCGAGCTAAGAGGCTTTTCTTTATTTGTTTTAACAACCCCAAGATCGTACAATGTGGAGACCCCCTCAAAAGCATCTTCAAACTAAAAAATAAATATACATTAGTTTTCAGTAATAAAAAACTCATCATTAAAAAAATGTATATATTATCAGTACATATGCAAAGTTATCATTTTTGTGCGGCCGTCACGCCAATGAAACCCTGTGTGGTACTAATTTTCTACATAACAATATAACCCCCATTATCCTCCGTACAGGCGATAAATTTTTCTCATCAATAGGTTAGTAGGATAAACTACATTACTGCATAACAGTCTATAGCTTAGATATCCCTCCATTGTTGAGTAAGTGTTTATCGGGAGCGGGTTAATAGGATAATTGAGCTACTTTTCGGTACGTGAATCTAATAGCCGACCACATAATATCATCATATAATGAAATAATTTTATAAAAAAAAATCAATAGCTAACCTGTGAATGAATTCTAAAAAGCTTTCGTTGACGCAAAGACCCATCCGGACACAAATTACAAATATAACCAACGACTCGGTCTACAATCGTTCTCAACTCATTTTGCGGAATCCAGGGATTTTCTTCTAAACCTTGGTGAACAACGGAGGTGGCATTTATATGGCGCTCTTCGGCATTGATCCAAAAAATTGTGGATTTTGGTTTGTAAATCAGCAGACATATTGATTAGTTGAGTTCGAAGAAACAGAAGCTTTGTTATATTGCGAGTAAAGCGACAAAAAACACAACGTAAGTATACTGTCCTTTTAAAACGAACGTCTCCGCTCATTTCTGGCCTCATTTAGGTATGGGAAGAGTAGATTTAGGGAATGTGAAAGTGGAGCGATGCACGACGAAAAAAAAACTTTTCACAAAGAAAACGTGAATGCCACGAGTTAGCAATCGGATTTGGAATTTATAGCAACAATCAGCAGGTTACACGAATAACTATACATGTTCTTCAATTTATTCTGTAACATAACGTAATTTACGTGACTCAAAGAGTCTGGGCTCTGTCCATTAACTCGGAATTTTTATTTATATAATCAAATATTCAGCTAAAATTTATTATTTTTTCAGACGAAATTCTGTATAGCAGAACAAGGTCTAATTTCCCACATTTATTCCAGTGGTTGACTATCTACATCGTACATACTAACATCACTGTTATTTTGAGATGAGGGTATATTACCAGAGACATCTTCATGGTTAGAAACAACATTACTCTGATCCACTTCTGAAAAAATATTATTATTTTGTGTTTCATCTGTGGCCCCAGATGTGACAACATCCTCGCTCTGTGAGTAAGGTGGTGGCGGCTGAAGAGATGACGTTTCGACGGAGCCAGCGTGATCAATATTTTGCTCAGGATTTTCCACACCAGAACTGTTTGTATTAGTGTTTATTGCATCGTGGGGTGGAGGTGGAGATGCTGACCGCCTACGACTTCTTCGACTATCAACGGAAGTTCTTCGGCCTCTTCGATTACCTGGCGATGTTCGACCCAATTCCTGTTCAACTTCCCCAGTAGATGGTGCGGGTGAATTATTCCTCCCAATTCTACGTTGTCTACGATTAGAGCTATTAATGATACGGATTCTATCAAAATCGTCTTCAGGCCTCTCCCAAAAATGTGTACGGAATTCATTGAAATATTGTGCACCCGTTCGGCTTCTTCGTGCTCTTCGATTACCTGCCATATAATCGCACATCGACTGATTTGACATGGATTATTGATCATAATGGCTAAGACGTAAGCAAAAAATCTGGAAAAATTTTCTTACGATGCCATACTTACATTGTAATCCCGAACAAGATTCGAAAATTTTTCTTTACATTGGTGTCCATTAAAGCTCGTATTATGTT